GCAACTTGCTCACATGAACTTCAGGTTGTTCACGCTTGGATCATGGCCACACTTCTCTAATTGGTAAGTTTGACATATAATTTCATCTTTGAGACTTTATGAATCTTCCCATCATTAACATAATTAATATCAATTGAAAATATGACAAACCTTATTATGTACTTGAATTAAATTAATGCATTCATATAAAATACTTATTAATGCATTTCCTTTTCAATTTCTATTGAGATATGTATTTTAATTAGTGCCATCATGTGAGGAACAAATTTTCAATAGCAACCTTGCTTCATTCCATTCATGTAAAAGGATCAAGTATCCTTTAGGTTTATATGTAGACTAAAGTTATAAAACATGCAAATTCTAATGATTGCATTTTTTGTGCTCAAAATTTGATTTGACATTTTTGTCCAACCAAGTTAGTTTAATATATCCAACCATATGTTTGAACAGAATTTGAGCAGGAAAGTTACTTAGGATACTTTAGAAGTATTCATGAAATTGTCATTAACTTAGCATGCTTTCAAAATATTGCTATGATTAATATTGTTGTACGTAAAAAGTAGGGAGAATTATAATGAGGTTCTAAGGAAGAAAAATAATTACAAAACAAGCATTCTCTACTCTGAAAATTGTCATTACAAGTTGTTTAGGTTGTTATTGAGATTTTTTTAATATTTATTTAGCTAGAAATTTAATTTCTATTATGTTGACGAGTGAGAAGCAATAGAACTGGCAATACAATTTGAATGTAATCCTGTAGCAAGCTGGAAAAAGCTGTATACCAATACTATAAGGATAATGAAGCTGAAGGTACAAGTAATATTATTTAGCTAGAAGCAATATTATTTTACCTCTTCAGCGAATAGTTTGCGATACTTGGCCCCCAAAATTGATTTGGTTGTGATGTTTTGTTGGTTGTATTGTAAATTATAGATGTGCATGTATTGCATATCTCTTTCATTTTCATTCATCTTTCTTTCTTTCTTTTTTTTCCTTTTCCTTTCTTTAATAACGTTGATGGTCTTTGTCATTGTAAGTTTAATTATACTATTGACTTCCTTCATAGTTATAATGAATACAATTCATTGAATATTTAATTGAAATTAGTGCACCATATTTGACTATTAAGGGCATCATAATTAAAATCGGTGAAGTTTACTAGCCTCATTCAAAGCATCCAAATTAGAACCATCAAAATGAAATGCAACAAAAAATTATAATTATAGGGCCAGTGTAAATTTAAATAAAGTAAACTTGCCTCGTTGAAGTTTACTCAAGAAATTAAAAACCGGACTGAATACTAAACTAGTTGAGATAGTGGTTGAATGATCAGTCGGACTAGGTTTAACTTGGGGTCAAACCAGTAATATTAAAATAATATAATTTAATTAAAAATAAAAAATATAACAATATTAATAATCACTATTAATAAAATATAAGAAAATATAATAATAGTTTAATTGTAATAATAACAAAGTATAAAAATATTAAGAATTTTGATCTTTATCATTCATTAATAACTAAAATTAATAATTACTGATACTAAAATCATTGTTAAAATTCTTTCAATCTATAGTGATTGAGATATTAAGGGCTGAATAAAAAAAATAACACCAATATTAATGTAATCATCGAAATTGGTTCATATCGGTTTTTATCGGTTCAATATCAGTTTAACTCCCATCCAACTCAGCAACCAAACGAAAATGAAACTAGTGAACAAACCAACTCCCTGGGAGTTTACTATATTTTTGTATGACATAAAAGCAGTTTGTCCTTTTGATTCCTTGGGCAAAGCCATGAGATTCACCAAATTGCCCAATGGCTCATGCACATAATCTTGGCTTATTATTTCCATTATAAGTTTTGTTGGTTGTGTCGTGGTAGCCAAGTCATTCTTCAATTACTACAGCAATCATAAAGAAATTCAAAACTTGCCAAGTCTCACCTATTGGATAGGTTGTATTTTTGCAGAATTTACTAGTTCTTATACTTGCTCTAATGAGTTCTAATTGCAACTAAAAATTCATACATGACATGACAAAGGAATGATAGTAAAAAAATTTTAGACAATAACTTTTCCATGCTTAAAAAGGTAAGCATATTGATTGAAGCTCACTATGCTCTCATTATTAGGGGTGTGCAATCGGATATTTGGTTCAGTTCGGTCTAGAAACCAAAATAACCGATCACCGAATTAGAATATTTTTAGGCACCGAACCAAACTGAAGTTCTATCACTAATAGAATAGAAACAGAACCGAAATATCTCGGTTTGGTTGGTTCATTCGGTTAATGCTACTGACTTTTTCCTCTGTTTAAACCCGCCATAAAATCCTAGGTGCGAGGGAGATGAAGCGGTAAGCACAGCCACAATAGCAGAGACTATAGAGAAGAATAGAAGTGTCAATGTGAAGATGAAATGGAGAAGAAAAGTGGAGATGAAGTAGAGACACCGCAAAGAAGAAGAGCAAAAGCATCAATATATTGTTTTTGAAGAGAGAGAGAGAGGCGCTATTGTGACAGCAATGAAGAAGTGTGAGGGAGAGGGCAGCAATGAAGAGTAAGAGAGTGTGAGGGAGAGGGCATTCTACCTGAGATCAATGAGCAAGAAGATAATAGTATTGTTTTTTACTTTTTGAAATTGAGAGGATGCTGGGAAGGAGGCTGCGGCTAGAGAGAATGAGAGATGATGAGCTATCTTACATTAGGTTAGGGTTTGAGATATATTGGGCTGGGTTTAGAAGTATACTTTGGGCGTGTTAGTTCTTTTTGACCGAATTGGGCTTATTAGTTTATTGCTAACTTAGTGTCATATTATATACCTTGGCCAAAAAAAATATATATATATATATATGCTAATATACACACACACATGTAGGTTTTTCGGTTTAAAATTGAAATTTTTTTAATAAATCGAACCGAAAACCGAAAACCAAAATTTATTAGAAATAAAAATCGAATCGAAACCGAACACCGAAATAACCGAACTGAAAAACCGAAAATACATTTGGTTCGGTTCGGTTATCGGTTTCGGTTCGGTTCGGTTATCGGTTTTGCTCATCCCTACTCATTATACTAGCCTCTTTTATCAACAAATTCAAAATAAAATCATGCCAATAGACTTTTCCTTAATTATAGCTACCCCATACCATGTAGCCTCCCTTACCATCAGGTCATAGTTACTTTTACCGCATAAATAGCAAGGACCATTTCGTCTTCTTATCATTCACCCTGCATTATGTGTGCTATGGTATTTTTATATCTTTGAATAAATCATCTATGAATTAGAAGCATGATAGGATGAAAAACATTTTTGCATAATGGCAAAAACTATTGTAAAAAATTAACTACTATTGGAAGATGTAGGAATTTGCAAATAACATGATATCCAAATGTTAAGTGGAAGCATAGTCATAAAAGATAATGTTAGATACATACTATGATCTCTTGTGCATTGAAGGCTAAAATGTCATAACTTTTGTCTAATTAATACTAAGAAATTATTTTAAATTGATTTGTACTGGACACAAATGTAACGAAACTATTATAATAATTTAAACGGAGTTTAAATATTGCATCTAGAAGTTTTCTTATCTTCCTCTTTTATATGCTTTGTTGTAATAGTGCGGTGAATTCATGAAATGTTTTGGATTATAATATATTGCTTCCGGTATTCTCGTTGACTAATTTGAGTAGATTAAAGATAAGTTTACGCGTTGTCTTTCCCAAAATATTTTTGCTAATCAAGTATATTGGCTAGAGCTATCATTATTACAATGACTACTTTGAAAAAAAATGAATAAATATGAAAAACAAAGTGGATTGAGATCTTATATTTAGGACTAAAATAAAATTCAAATGAACTATGATATTAAGGACCGAAGGTAGTAGTTATTTATAGTGGAATGTGTGAGTTTTTTAACAAATTAAAATATAAAAACTCCAAACTACAAACCCCGCACACCACGCACGCTATTTTATACTCTTCTGGTCCTATTTATAAATAACTTTTAATATGTATTATACAAACTAAGAAAAACTTTAAATTTTATTAATTCTTATTTAAAACTTAATAATTTTCTGACTTTATTTCTATTCAATAGACATTATATTTCATGTAAATAAAATTAACATATAAATAAAATTATATATTGATACAAAAAATGTATCAGTACTTTATAATGTGAAAAAATGTCTTTTTTCTATAACGAGAGAAGTGCTTTATAATATGTTAGTGATTAGCCTCGTATATTGATCTTAGGCTTTGTTTGGTTAGAAAGTTGTTGAGGGGAGGGGAGGGAAGGATAGGGGAAGGGAGGGGATGAGATTAGTGTGTTTGGTTGGGAAAAATAGAGAGGAAGGGAGAAAAAAATTGTCTTTTAGTGCTCTTCTCTCTTCTTTTTGCTCCCCTCCAAATTTAGGGTTTTTTGGAAGGGGAGGAAATATTATGTTTAATATTGACTAAACTACCCATACTAACTTTTCTATATTTTAAGTTTATCTCTCTTATTAGAAATCTTTTCTCACTTCTTTCTCTTTTCAGCCACTAATGATATTTGATAATATAATATTTCTATTATGACAGTAATTTTTTTGTAATATAATACGATAAGTGTACATTAATAGAGGGTGATGTATTATAATTATATAATATATACATATTATATATATTAATACCCATGAATGTGTATTGTAATTATAAAATTAATGAGATATAATGTTAAACCTTTTACCATATTTCTTTATTTTTTTTAGTTTTATCATAATTTTTTATCACGTGTAATTGAGGTAATTGATTTTTTTAAAATTGATAAATTAAGAAATGATAATTTTGATATAAATATTATAATAAAAAAATAGTCTAAATATAGAGATAATGACATATTTATCAATTTATAATCACTTCCCTTCTCCTCCTCTTATGAACCAAATAAAAAATCTTTTTTCCCTTTTTCTTTCCTCTAGCCAAACAAAACCCATTTCTTCCATTCTCCTCTTCTCCCCCTTCTTTTAATGAACCTCTCCTCCCCTGTTCTCTACTGAAACAAACAAAGCCTTAACCCAAAAAATCTCCCGCCCCCGATCTCTTCTTCGACGGCTAGCTTCCTTCGCTGCCGAGCCGCGGATTAGCAAGTCATGTCACCATCACACATCTTTAACGTTCAGCTCTTCTCATCGACAGTCTTGGTCTTCGTCCAATTCCCCCACAAACAGCGGTCTTCTTGTCTTGGCCGGAGGGGGCGACACTGGGGAAGAAATGATGGAGGTCATTAGCGTCAAGTCCCAGTTACCAGATAATCCACCTCACGCCGTCAGTAGCCATTGCACCGATTAGGTATCTCTTTTTCCTGATTTCTTTATTTTCTTCTTGAAACGGTAAATCTTCTGATAGCTATGGTGATGCATTAGGGATTGATACAAACTGGAGTAGAAAGAATAAGAGGCTTAAGCTTTCTTCTTCTTTTCCTTCTTTTACGGTAAGTGTAGCACAACGGAACGTATTGTGCTAGGCTTGGCACATTGAAGACATGCATGCATGGCGTTTGATGAAAGTCCTGAATGAAAGATAATTAACTGGGGGGCTGTGTATTGATTATTTTGTTTGTTTCAGAACTGGAATAAATATATTATCTTTGAACTGGTCATTCTAGAAATTAATTCACTGCAAAAACTTCTTTGCAAGTGTTCTTTCTAGAATTATAATTAGTTTGCTCATCATTTTTAATATGACATAATGTATTTGTTATACTTCCTCTCGTTATGTTCCTAATTAGTTGGCTGTTTTGGCATAACGGATGTTCAATTGGTGTATGGTAATCTGCTGGTTATTGTATTTTATTTCCCTTAATTCAACCATTGAGAGATTCTTACCTTCCCCTAATAGCAGCCTTATCTTTTATTGAACCATATTAAGCAGGACATTTTTCTTTGGGTTGAGATTTTTCTATTTTATGTTCTAAAGTTCAGACTTTATTAATGGCAGTTCCTTCTGCTGTATTCTGTTTCTTATAAACAATAACCTATGGCCCATGGGTTACAGTGTTCTTTATCAAATTTTCTGATAAAAAAGTTTTAGCTGATGGTTGGTTATTTAAATTTGAAGAATCTAATGATTCTGAAGTTCTATTTTATTTGAATAGAATGATAAATAGATACAATTCCCTCAATGAATGAGGTGATCAGACTGAGATTCTAGGGATCAGGTGAGATATTAGGAGTCTAAATCAATTCCTAGGACACAATCGGAAAGGAATTAGGATCTATCTAATAAACAGAAATTTAAATTAAAGAATCAAACAGATTTGCACAGCCCATGACCCGAATAGACTGAATAGCCAATACTCCCCCTCAAGCTGGAATGTAGATATCAAGCATTCCCAGCTTGTCTCTAAACTTTTCAAATTTGCCTCAGTCTAGTGGCTTTGTAAGAACATCAGCTACGTGTGACCTAGAGTTTATATGAGATAGGTCAATGATCTTTGATTTAATCTTCTCCTTTATAAAACAGCAATCAATATCAACATGTTTTGTCCTGTCATGATGAACAGGATTATTAAACATTTGAAGTGTTGACATGTTGTCGCACCAAAGCTTAATTGGTGTGTCTACACTGATTCTGATTTCTTTTAGGACACGTATGATCCACATTCCTTTGTGAACCCCATTAGCCAATGCTCTTAACTCTGCTTTTGCACTGCTTCTAGAAACCATAGTTTGCTTTTTGCTCCTCTATGTTACCAAATTTCCCCAAACAAAAGTAAAGTATCCCCCTGTTGACCTTTTATCAACAAGTGATTTTCTATGGTCTGCATCTGTAGATACTACTCTATCTTTTGATCCCCCCTTTTTGAAGAAGACCCCTCTTCCAAGTGTTATTTTCAAGTATTTAGGGATAGTATATATTGCTTCCATATGTTGTTCTTGTGGTTGTGAAGAGAATTGACTAACCACTTCCACTGCATAACTAATATCTGGTCTTGTGTGTGATAGATAGCTAAGTTTTCCTACCAATCGTTTGTACCTTTCTGCATCAACTGGTATGCCATCCTTTTTATATTCAAGGTTGACGGAGGGATCCATAGGTGTTGGTGATGGCTTAGCTCCCAACAAGCCAGTTTTTTTAAGTAGATCCAGTGTGTACTTTCTTTGTGACACTGAGATGCCTTCTTTCAGCCTGGCAATCTCCATTCCAAGAAAGTACTTAGACTTTCTAAGTCTTTCACCTCAAATTCTGCTGCCAAAATCTCCTTTAATCTCGCTATTTCTTCACTGTCTCTCCTGGTTATAACAATGTCATCTACATACACGATTAGGATAGACACTTTTCCTTCTGAATGTCTAACAAATAATGTGTGATTTGACTGGCATTGCACATAACTAGATTCCTTCACCACTTTGGTGAATCTTTCGAATCATGCCCTTGGAGATTGTTTGAGACCATAGAGAGATTTATATAGTTTGCATGCCCTTTTTAAGTTTCCATGTTCTGCTAGTCCTTCAGGGATTCTCATATACACTTCTTCCTCGAGATTCCCATTTAGAAAAGCATTCTTTACATTAAGTTGGTGAAGTGGTCAATCAAGATTGGCTGCTAAGAACAATAATATCCTCATAGTATTTAATTTTGCTATTGGTGCAAATGTTTCTTGATAATCAATGCCCTCTGTTTGAGAAAAACCTTTCGCCACTAGTTGAGCCTTAAACTTGCTTATAGACCCATCTAGATTGTATTTAGTCGTGAAGACCCACTTACACCCTGCAGCCTTCGTTCCATGTGGGAGACTCACAATCTTCCAAGTTTGATTTTGTTGGAAGACAAAGCCCAAGCCCAATAAGCTGTGTTTTATTTGTTAATTTCATTCTTTGTATTTATTTTATCAGTTCGATTAGATTTATTAGCCAAATTAGGATAGATCTCTTTGATTTATCCATTTATCCTAGATTTACCCTAGCTTATCTAGTTATATAATGTACTCCACTGCTTCAAGTATAATGCAAGTATCACTATTCGCTCTACTCTCTCATGGTATCAGAGCTGGCGACCAAGAGAGAGAGAGAAAGTGCCGGCCTTAATTGCAACTAAGACCAGTCAGACTGGTCGCACGAAGACACGCCAACAACATGACCTTGATCGCGACTAAGACTAGTTAGACTGGTTGCAGGAAGAAACGTCGACAACAGAGCCATTTGATCACGCCTAAGTTAGCGATTGGGACCGAGTAGCCTGTCGCACAAAGATATGCGGACGATCGAGCAATTTGGTTGATCGAGACTGAGGAACCTGTCGCACGAATGTACACTGACGATCGAGCAATTTGGCCGCATTTGAGTGAGCGACCGAGACCGAGTCACACAAAGGCACGATCATAATCATGCAACCCAGCGAACCTAACATGAACGAGATGGAGTCTGGAGAATTTCCGCCTCTGTTTGGCACAATGAGGCGATCTTCATCGGCGTTTACAACACGTATAGCACCATCATCTTCTTCTTCCGCGTTGGGCTCTTCTGGAACGGGTCCCTCTGCATCGGGTTCTTCCTCTTTGATGGGAATAGAACCTGGAGTAACTACCGAGATGCCACAGATGTTGATCACTCACAAGTTGAATGGAAGTAATTATTTACAATGGTCTCAAAGTGTCCTAATGTACTTAGAGGCAGAAGAAAAGAAAAATACATAACTGGGGAGGCTCCACAACCAAGTCCTGATGACTCAAAGTATGATACTTGGTCTGCCGAAAATAATCTTGTGATGACATGGTTATGTAATTCCATGACAGTAGACATTAGTGAAGGATATTTGCTTGCTAAGACAGCAAAGGAGATATGGGATGCTGCAAAAAGAACATACTTAGCTATGGAAAATACTGTTGCTCTATTTCAAATCAAAAAATTGCAGAGAGAGATGAAACAAGGAAGCATGACAGTGACACAGTATTATACTGCTCTCGCACGTTTGTGGCAGCAGCTGGACATGTTTGATGTCCATGAATGGAAGTGCAGCAATGATGCCTAACTATATAGTGAACTAGTCGAAAAAGAAAGAACCTATGAGTTCTTACTTGGTCTCATTGACATGTTTGATGACATAAGAGGAAGAATTATGGGGATGAAACCGCTGCCATCACTATTCGAAGCTTTCAACATGGTCAGATGTGAAGAAAGCAGAAAACAACTCACCCTGAGTGTATCTGCACCCTCTGAGAGTTCGGCATTAACAGTACATGGCATCAATGGACCAGAACTGAGAGGAAAGAAGAACTCCAGAGGATGGTGTGATCATTGCAACAAAAATAGTCATAGTAGGGATATATGCTGGAAATTACATGGCAAAGCAGCAAATCTGAAACAAAAACAAAGACCAGAGAGTAGGGGGTATGCTGTTGTGACTGAGGAGAATGAGGAGAATGGAGAAACTCTTAGCCGAGAAGAATTACAAGTACTCAAACGAATTCTTGAGAAGCACAATAACTCTACCTCTACTCCTAAAGCAAATTTAGTAAAGTCAGGTAATTCTATTATAGCCCTAAATGCTATGGTAACCAGTGATAATACCTGGATTGTTGACTCTGGAGTTACAGACCATATGACGGGTAATAAAACTTTGTTCAGAATTCTAAAGTATTGTCATGATGAGAACCTTAAAGTGGACGGACTCTATTATCTTGAAGGGTCAAGGATCACCAATAGACATGTGGGCAAGGCTTTGTTTAGCTCAAAATCTTCAAATAAGGATGTATTATTATGGCACTCTAGGACAGGCCATCCCAGTGTTGACTATATGAAAAACTTATTTCCAGATTTATTGAATAAAAATTTAGTTTATTTTCTTTGTGAAACTTGCCAATTTGCAAAACAAACTAGAACTTCCTATTCCAAACAATCCTATAAACCAACAGCACCTTTTACCTTAATACATAGTGATATTTGGGGACCCGCAAGGGTTAAATCAACCTCTAGTGCTAGGTGGTTTGTGACCTTTATTGATGACCACACTCGAGTGACTTGGGTATACCTAATGAAAGAAAAATCGGAAATTTTTAACATTTTCAAAAGTTTCCACACGTTTATGAAAACTCAATTCCAAGGGACAATCAAGATATTAAGAAGTGACAATGCAAGAGAGTACCTCAGCACAACCTTGAGAGAATTCCTTGACCAGCAAGGAATCCACCACCAAACCTCATGCACAAACACCCCGCAACAGAATGGGGTAGCTGAACAAAAGAACCGACATCTCCTAGAAGTCACTCACGCTATTATGATTGCCAGAAATGTTCCAAACCTATTTTGGGGAGAAGCTATTCTCACATCAGCCTACTTGATCAACCGAAT